GCATGTACTGTAGATCTGTGTTTTGTTGGTTTTCTGGGCATGCATTTTTTGTCCCAGGTATGTATACTAAACAACAGTTGGCAGCTGAAAGTATCACACTGAAAGTTCAGTTTGGGTGGAATGAAATGTGTTAAATCCAGCTTATGTCTTGAGGCATGCCAGTAGAGCTCTGTAGACTTTAGCAGTCTAAAGTCCTAAAGGAACTTCAAACACTATTCTAAAAGTAGTCGTTGCTTGTTATTTGCTTTTTTAACTTACTGCCTGTTACTGTGGTCTTTGAAAAACGTGAACTTAATCTGGAGGCCAGGCTCTACTGCAGGAACAAACACTTCTGTGCTTAGATTAGTATTGACTGGATTCTATGAGGCACAGTTCTGAAACATTACACTTCACATGGTGGTGGTGATGTGGTAAAATCTACTTTTCTGACTTACTGTTCAGTCTTCGTAATGTTATAATTACAGTCAGTAGGTAATGGGATTGTTTGAGAAATTATCTTTTTTCTTGCAGAAGCGACATGCCTTACGTTGCTACTGTCAAGCCATGCAGGTTTACAAAGGGAAAGGCTGGTCTCTTGCAGAAGACCACATTAACTTCACCATCGGTCGTCAGTCCTTTACGCTTCGTCAGCTGGACAATGCTGTGTCTGCATTCAGGCATATTTTGATCAATGACAGTAAACAACCTCCTGCTCAGCAAGGAGCTTTTTTAAGAGAATATCTTTATGTCTATAAGGTAAGGTAAATGATTTCCTTGTCTCCGTTTCTTGAATAAAATAAGTACTAAATAAATAAGTATTAAAATAAGTAATTTTATTACTGCCAATTTTCTATGAAATCATTAAATGATTTTCTATTTTATCTGCTTTGTTCCAGTGTTGTTTTGGTTTTTTTTAATCTAGTTGATGTGTCCAGTTTTTTTCCTCAGACTGCAAAAACCCACATATGCTGCACCTCATGTGTGTAGTACTTTCACAGATGGGAATAAGTAAAGGTTAATATTACAGTAGTGTATGTATTTTTATTACAATAAAGTCTGTTTTTTGAGGATCATGGCTGAATTGTAGTTGTGATAAGTTTCATAGTTTCTTAGAGGAAATGGATTTGTCCTGTTTTGATCAATTTGTAATGAATTTGGGGGCTTTTGATAATACATATTTAATAAAGACTAGGTAGCTCTGTCATCATCCATATAGTGAATTTCATTCTTTAATAAAGATAAAATTAGATGGATCAAGTGACTCATGGAGCTTTGTTTAAGTTCATGGGTGATTCTGGATTGCAGTGTGCCATATACATTATGGGGTGTTTAGTGCTGATATTGCTACACAATATGCAGCCATGCATATTACTGTCTTTTAAAGCTTAAGAACAGAATTTCTGTGGTGTTTAAGTTATGGCACACCTTATTCAAAGGCTGGTGTTTGAATCTGCAGCTCAGCTTGTTGGCAGTCTTGTTTAATGGTGGTGGGTTAGTGAATATAGTTTATCAAATTCTGAATTAGACAGTCAAGCTTTGCATCAAATAAAGCTTGTAATAGCAATACAGCCACAATAGTGATTAGATTTCAGAGTTAAAAGAATTATTCTTTTCCCATAAAGATTTCATAAACTTTAAACTCCTATTAAAGAGAAATAAACTATGTCAAACAGTTAATTGAAATTATTTATTCCATCCTAAAAGTATTCCCTGTTCAAACATTGAGTGTTTTTAGCTTGGCTTCCTTACCATTCAGCCATTGGTAAGGTACATGACACTCTGTTTTCTTGCTCCTTTGCTCCAGAATGCAGCCCAGCTGTCACCTGATGGTCCCTTACCACAGCTCCCTTTACCGTATATTAACAGCTCAGCAACTCGTGTTTTCTTTGGCCATGATCGACGACCAGCAGAAGGTTAGAAAATTTTAAGTAAATAGTTTCAAGTCCCTTTTTTAAGGAATCAAAATACATGGAAGAATTGGTGCCATTTAAGTCTGTCATTGT